AGAAGAGTTGGTTTTTATTCCCCGCTCTTCACTACCTGAAAGAGTCTCAGAGCAGCTTACAATCTCCTTCCCTTCCTCTCCCCACAACAGACACCCTGTGAGGTAGGTGGGGCTGAGAGAGCTCTGGGAGAACTGCCCTTGAGAGAACAGCTCTGAGAGAACTGGGACTGACCCAAGGGGTCACCCAGCTGGCTGCATGTGTAGGAGAAGTGGGGAATCAAACTCGGTTCTCCGCTGCTCTTAACCACTACACCAAGATGGCTTTCTGGAGGGAATGGCCGCTTCAGAGGGTATACCATAGAGTCTGGGAAGGTGGAAGTTATAGAGTGACATCCTATCCCTGCCGTCCCTAGGCCCCCCTACCCCAAATTTCCAGGAATTTCCCAAGCCAGAGTTGGCAACCTTAGTGTCTGATGCCAAGTCACCCCAGGATTCCTAGAACAGATATCTAGTGGTTTACAGTAGGGAATTTCCAGAGTGAGGGACTTCGGTGGGGCGGGGATGTGCAGTTCTCTTTTGGAGGATAGCGTTAGGTCCTCCTTGTCTCTCTCATTTCCAGCTCTGGATTCCAAGGCCAGCAACCTGTCGACTCTCTCCAAGAAATACCGCCACGACGCCAAATTTCTCAACAGCCGCTCAGCATACGCCAAAGCCGCTGCCACCAGCCTGGTTTTTGTGGTGATAATGCTCTACATCCGCTTCTGGTGGCTGATTTGACGGCTCCTCTCTCTCCCTGACATCTCTTCAGGCCCACCTTCTGGGGACGTATGGAGAAAAGGGGGGACTTTCTCCCTCTTGTCCTGTCCAAGACCGAACCAGGATCTGCAGCTGGAGAAACGGGAACTCCCAGAGGGGCCTGTGCTGTTCCTCTTGTTACAAAGAGATTTTGTTTTTTAAAATTGACATGACAACTTTCACCACTTGGTGGCCAAAACAGGAATGACTGTTGTTAGAGAATTCAGCACTATGGCTATTTATAAATGTTAACACCACGATTTTGCTTTTTAGAGTGTCAAAATGTATCTTATGCTTTCCGCTGCCAGCAGTAAAATATTGGGAGGTAGTATAGGAAAGAAGGGAAGCACGCGTTCTGATAAATAGCAAGAACAGTCTTCTGGTTGTAGGGATGTGTGATTTTGGTTCTGGGAGGGCGGCCGGATAGCTACAATTCAACGGATAACACTCCTATTCTTCTAGCTCCATGTCCGAACAAGTGGCATCTGTTGAATTTCTGTCTGCCTTACAGTTGTCTCAGGCACTGTCAAAAATAATGAAGCAACCCCAGGTTTGTCCTGGGGATGCAGCCATTACAGCAGGCCTGGTTAAGCGGTGTCAGGTAGACCTATCCGGTCTTTTGATCAATTTGTATTCATTGCCTGCTGAGAACAGCAAGAAACGGGTGGAGCTGCCTCTGTTGGACACCAACGTGCCACACGGGAGTTTGACGTGCCTTTCAGCCCTCCCTGACAAAAGACCACAAGCATGGGCTGGAGAGAAGCCTGGCCCCACCGACACACGACAATAGTTGGTCGATGTTTACCGTAGAGGTGGATACTTTTGCAATACATTTTATTTTTCAGGAAGCTGCCTCCTGGTGGACGACTGGACATGAACACACACACACACACCTTTTTTAAAAGTTTCATTTTAGGCGCGTATCGATGGCAAGGGGATAAACAAGTGATCGTTTCTGCATTCTGTTTTCAAATGTGCAGGGCCCAGGGTTTGAGAGTTCTGTTTTAATCCTGGGACATTAAAAATTGAGAACATCTCAGACTGCAAGGCGAAGTGGTTTCTCTTTTTCTTAACTTGCTCCGGTGCCTTTAACAGCAGGCTGTCGAGTCATTGCATATTTATTTACTTTATCTGTACCCCAGTTTCTCCCCAATGGGGACCCAAAGCGCCTTGCGTCATTCTCCTCTCCTCTGTTTTATCCTCACAACAACCCTGTGAGGTAGGGTTAGGCTGAGAGGGTGTGACAGGCCTGACGTCACCCAGAGAGCGTCCGTGGCAGAGGGAGGATTCGAACATGGTGCTCCCAGATCCTAGTCCGACACTTTAACCCCTACAGCCATGCTGGAAAGGGACACTTTCTCTGCCATTTTCCCAGGAAAAGCCTCACCTGCTTATGATCCTCCCTCCGCCCCATGTTCAAGGCACAAATTCAGCCGGGTGGCAAAATCCTGGCAGCTTTGGCAGAGCGCTTTCCCTTCCTCATTAAACAACATAACTTTTTCTTTAATAGCTTTGTGTTCAGCCTATCTAAAAGGCGCAGAAAAGGATCGCCGAAAGAACCGTGTTGGTAAGGAAAGGTGATAGACTGATGGGATGTTTCAGTACGGGGGAGGAAATCACTAAGGTGGGTGGGGGTGGGGTGATAAAGACGTTGTGTACAGTTTTTACAAAATGTGAGAAAGCAGAGAGAGGGAAACCGTATTCTTCCAAAATAATCCAAGTCGGGGGGTAGTAGAAGAGAGCGAGAGTCCCAGGAGCGCCTTCTGGACTCACAAAATTTGTGGCCGGGTGAGAGCTTTTGTGAGTCACAGCTCACTTCTTCAGATACAGCTAGAAGAAGTGAGCAGTGACTAATGAAAGCTCCTCCCCGGCCACAAATTTGGCTAGGCTGTAAGCAGTGTTCCCTCTAAGCTGAGTTAGTGTGAGCTAGCTCACACCTTTTTGTCTTAGCTCATAAAGGATGGTTCCAGAGCAGACCAATTTATGCAGCAGCCAAATCGCTCCCTCACAACTTTAATGCCAGTAGCTCAAAGTAGAATTTCTGCTCACAAGACTCCACAGCTTAGAGGGAACGTTGGCTGTAAGGCGCACCTGGACTCTTGTTCTTTTCTACAGCTACAGACAGACTTAACACAGCGCCCCATCTTGATCTATCTCCCAAGTCGGGGGGGGGGGGGAGGCGCCTTGTCTCTTCTGCTTCCGAAGAAAGTCCTCATTTATACATCCTAGAATTATCTTGTGGAATGTGTCGCCTCGAGGGCTGTCGGTGGCCACTATGATTTTAAAAGGCGGCTCAGGCATTTTCTTGGAGGCCGGCTCTCACAGTGGCTGTGAGCTACGAGGAGCTGAATGTTCAAGAGCAGTGTACCTCTGCAGACCAGTTTCCAGTAAGGGAGGCCATCGGGGAAGGCCCTGTCAGTGGGCTTCTGGTTTTGCCACTGTGGGAAACAAAACGCTGCATCGGGTCTGATCCAGCAGAGCTCTTCTTATCTGGAAACTGGCCGGAGGGTCTGGCTGAGGCATTTTTATCCCTTGCGGGATCCCTGCCATACACACACACACACCTCCAGTCTTTCTCTGTCGGAAGACTTAGTTTATGAGGAGGACTTCTTCTCTGTATGCTTCAGGTTTGGAGAGGCAACATTATTTCATGACGAAAGTCACTTTCCCGCCCTGTGACACCATGTGTGACATCACATCTCTCCTCCGACATTCCTCTGATGTCATAACCATCCTAGCTCTTCCATGCAGGGCCCTGGAGGCCTTCCTCTCTGCTCCAAGTAAGCCTCAGTTTTGTGGCCTCTTCCTGTGATAGCTGTCATCCTTCCTTGCATGACCTCATGGGGGAATATCCCGTCCTGGCTCTGTCAGCAGACCCCGTGCCCCACAGCACCAGCCCCCATCCAATCCCCATCCGGAGGGGGTTGGATTCACTCAGGAGGCAGCCCCACGGCCTCTTCTGACGAGCTCGTAGGCAACGCGGAAGGAGGAAGAACCTTTAGAGGGATTTCGTTCTCTGGGACTGGGGGAAGCCGCGGGTGGCCGCCCTGCCACGATAATTTGCGTGGGTTGGGAGCCGAGCGATGGTGGTGCGGCCGTGGCCTGTGTGATGGGAGCTGGCCGGCTGTGGGAGAGGGGCGGGGAGAGTCCAAGAGGGACAGGATGTCATGGTGGAGGCGCTCCTGGGCCACGTCTCTTGCGAGGCGGCCCACGTGGTCCGGGATGTTCTGCTTGGCGCCGTGTTGCAGAAGGAGGCAAGCCACTTTGCAGCTCCCCTCTCGGGCGGCGAGGAAGAGTGGCGTCTGTGCCTGAGGGAAAGGGGCAAAAATAAAGATCAAGATCCAAGTCCAGCAGAACCTTAAGGACCAACACGATTTCCGGGGTACAAGCTTGCAAGAGTTAAAACTCCCTTCGTCAGATACAAGATACGGATCCGAAAGGAGCTCTGACACTCAAAAGTTTATACTCTGGAAATCGTGTTGTTCTGGACTCAGATCTTGATCTACTCCAGACCAGGCCCAACGCTGGGGAAGGCAAACAGGGGCAATGCCCCACTAAACATTTTCCATGCCCCCTCAATCATCAGGGTTCCACTTTATGCTTTCTGTCCAGGAAAACAAGAGAGACAATACTGGACATATAAAGAGCTGTGTTTGTTCAGTGGATGAGAAGGAAAGATCCTTTGCATATGCCACAATATTAGATACATTAATAATAGTACATTTTATCCCACACTTCCTACAAGGAACGCTTGGTGTCAAGGCTCATGAGCCTGTTGGGCAGCCGTGTTGGTCTGAAGCAGTAGCATATGTCGACCTCCCGTCCTCATTTTTATCTTTACAACAACCCAGCAAGGTAGGTTGTGTTGAGAGGGTGTGACTGATGCAAGCAACACCCAGTTTGTGATGTGCCAGCGTTGGGATTTGAACCCGAGTTCTTCAGATCCTAGTTTGGTACTCTAACCTCTACAAAGCACACCCATTTATGGGGGGCAGGTCTCTATTTGCTGGGGCAATTAAACTGAACCTCCACATTCAAAGGCAGTATACCTCTGAATAGTGACTCCAAGACCAGAGGGTGAGCAGCAAGATAAACGTTTGCTTTCACGTCTTGCTTGTATGCTTCATGGCAACCACCTGCAGACTATTGTTGGAAACAGGCCGCTGGGCTCTTGGTCTGATCCAGGACGGCCTGTCTGCTGTACCTTACTCTCTACGTTTCTCGTTCTATGAAGCATTTCTGTGTGGGCCACCACTGAAGATGCTGATAACCAATTTTATTAGATGGCACCCACCGCCCCTCAAGATGAGAGAATCGTCTTCCCTGTCCACTCTCTGCATCGTTCCGAATTGCATAAAAACTGAATAAAAGGGATGGCACAACGTTTCAAGACCAATCGAGAAGCCCCACATCCGCATGTGAGCTTTTGAGCTCTCCAGATCTCCTCATCAGGTTCCCCCAGAGTTCTGGAGAACGTGAAAGCTCGCGTGCTGGTTTGTGTCATTTTGTTAGTCCTCAAAAGGGACCGCCTTTCCCCATATGTTCCCCCAAGGGCAGTACGGTCGGGGGAGTCAACATCTCCTGGAAATTCCAGGCCCCAGGGATATTAAATTTGCTGTTACTAGAGCCAGGGCATTTTCGGTGGCGGCTCCTACCTGGTGGAAGGAGCTCCCGGAGGAGATCCGGGCCCTGCGGGACCTTAATCAGTTCCGCAGGGCCTGTAAGACGGAACTCTTCCGCCAGGCTTTTGAGGAGGAGCTGCCGCCACTTCAATTCCACCACCGATATGTTTGCAGCATCGCACTACTACCACTAATATGTGGTTCCATATGGGTGCGAGGTGACCCTGGAAGGAGAGGGTGCTGACAAGTTGTGGGACCAATATACCATTTGAGAAAGTTCTACCCCATCTTGCACTGACACTTTGTTGTTGTACTGTATTGTCTCATTAACCTGTTAAGTGTCATGCCTGCCCTTGCTGATGCCCCTGAGGAGGCACCTGCCAGCCAGGAGCCTGTGGACTTACAGGCTCCTGAGGACAGTACTGCAGCAGAAAGGCAAAGACTGGATCCTGTAGCTGAAAGCTATCTAAGTGGTGAGGAGGATAGAGCCTCCCAGGGAACACCTGCAAGGGATCAGTCTCTGCTGCAGCCCAGTAATTCATCATCAGACTCGCCTCCACCTGTAACCAGGCTCAGGAATGTAAGAAGACAACAGCTGAGAGAGCAAAGGCAGAATGCACGCATGCGTGCCAGAAGATCTCTTAGCCCTGATTACTGACAGGATCCTGTCCTCACTCCTGGCTAGCTAATGAGTTGATTAGCTAGCACTGTATATATGCAAGTCTGTTGCCAGCAGTCATTTGTGCTGGCAAACGTCGTTTGTTCAGGACCTGAATCCTTGCATCTCTGCTCCAGACCTTGTGGAATTCTTCTCGGCTTGATCCTCGGCTTTTGACCTTTGGCTTTGTTGACCCTGCGTTCATCTCTGACTCCTCTGGTATTGTTGTGATTTATGGACTTGAAACTTTGGTATGTCTGACCCTGCTTTTGGACTGTGATTTAAACCTGCTTGAACCTTGCTACCTGATTTGCCCGGCTTGACCTCGGACTGTTCCTGGACTTTTGCTTGCTTGTGTCACGCCCCCTGGTCCTGCCGTGACAGATTGCCAGCACCCACAACGCTCACACATCCCCACCATGGAAGACGGAGCAACCGGAGGTGTGGACCCCATGGAGGAAATGCTAGCACAGGTACAGCACTTAACTCAAGCTGTGATTGCTTTGCAACAACAGGCTGCTACAAATGCTGTTGCTGTAGCAAATGCTGGTACACCTCCCCCACGTTGCCCAATAAATCCTCCTGATCGTTTCGGTGGGAATGTTGATGAGTTCCAGGCATTCCTTGCCCAATGTAATCTGTATATTGAGCTCAGGGCTCGGGACTTTGTTTCTGAGAAGGCTAAAGTTTGTTTCATTTTAAGCCTCCTTAAAGGGCAAGCTGCCAAATGGGCCACGCCCTTGCTGGTGGGGAATTCTCCCTTACTATCTGACTTCCAGGCTTTCAAGGCTCATTTTGCCGCTGCTTATGCCAATCCTGTGAAAGCTGAAACAGCTAACCGCAAAATAAGGGCTCTTACTCAGCATAAAACCTCTGTCGCTCAGTACACCAATGAGTTCCAGCTGCTGGCTCAAGACCTGACATGGAATGAGGCAGCGTTTATTGACCAGTATACTGAAGGGCTGTCTGACGAAATTCTAGATGAACTTGCACGCAGTGAACGCCCTGACACTTTACAAGCCCTCATCCATCTCTGTCTCCGCATTGATGGGAGGTTACAGAGCCGCCGCCAAAACAGAAAAAAGGCTCTCGCCTTCCCCAGCAGAACCCTTCAGACCTTCCACCGGCCTTCCTCCCCCGGCTCCTCTCCACCTCCTGCAGGCACAGAGCCCATGCAACTTGGCACCGCTCGGCCCCGCCTTACTTCTGAGGAGAAGCTGAGACGGCGCACTCAACAGCTGTGTCTGTATTGTGGAGAAGCCGGGCATTTTGCCTCCAGCTGCCCTGCCAAGCAGAAGCGCTCACCACAACCGGCTCCACCGGTAAAAGAGCAGCCCCAAGCCTGACCGGACCCCCCGGTTTGGGGCCTATTCTGGGGTCCTCCAGTACTCCATACTCACCACAGACTCCCTTCCTGGTGCCAGTGCGGTTGCAACTCCCAGACAACCGCTGGCTCTTCATCCACGCCATGTTGGACTCAGGGGCCGCCTGTTGTTTCATGGACATTCTTTTTGCCAAAGAACACGGCGTTCCCCTTCAAGAGAAGGCAACCCCAGCGCTTAACCCAATTTCTATTTTATCTAACGGCTATAAAAACCCACATCCACACATTGTAGGACATTGTGCTTTCACTGCACTATAGCAATCATCCACAAACGGCATGTCCTGTGTAAACAAGCCAAATCAGTAGCCAATCAGGATCATGGCGGCGGGTGGGTGGGGGTGATATTTGAACCTGGGTCTCCCAGATCTTAGTCTTAGGTGGCCGTGTTGGTCTGAAGCAACAGAGCAACGTTTGAGTCCAGGGGCACCTTTAAGATCAACAACGCTTAATTCTGGGTATAAGGTTTCGTAGGCATGCACACAACATGTATCTGATGAAGTGTGAGTACACACGAAAGCATATACCCAGCATTAAACTTTGTTGGTCTGAAAGGTGCCCCTGGACTCACACTTTGTTCTAGATATTAGTCTGATGCTCTGACCAGAGGTCATTTCGGGGGGGATCGCGGGGGATCGCAGTTCCCCCAGGTGAGGTACGGGGGGCGGGGCACATGATGAAGCCCCGCCCCCTGTTTCCGGCCGACCCGCTTCCGGCCCTCATTCAGCCAGGAGGAGGCAGGAGAAGAGGGACGGTAAGTTGCTTCCTCCCTGCCTCTCCCCACCCCTGTCTGCCTGGGGCCAGGGAGGGCCTTCGCGGGGCTTCCTTGCACTCCCGCCGGCCTCATGGGGCTCGGCAGTGGAGCTGCAAGGGCGGCGGCCGGGACCGTTGGGGGCAGGGTGTGTGGCCTTATGACACACTTCCGGTGATGTCAGGGGGTGTGGCCTTATGACACACTTCCGGTGATGTCAGGGGGTGTGGCATATGCTAATGAGGTATGCTAATGAGTTCCCCTAGCTCTTTTTCTATGAAACGACCCCTGGCTCTGACCACTGTACTACCACACTGCCTTGTAAAGTACAGGTGTGTAAAGTCCTTGCCATACCATAATATAGGGTTCCCAACTCCAGGTTGGGAAATATCTGGAGATTTTGGGGGGTGGAGCCTGAGGAGGGTGGAGTTTGGGGTTTGGGGAGGGGCTTCAGTGCCATAAAGTCCACCTTCCACAGCAGCCATTTTCTCCAGGTGAACGGATCTCTCTCACCTGGAGATCAGTGGTAATCCCTCATTACTAGGGTTGCCAAGTCGAAAATCGTCGGGAGCGGGGGACTCCCGTCCGGCGTCCTATGCGCGCGCACACCACACGCACGTCACCAGGAAGTGACATTATGACGCCGGGCACGCTGGGGGCGGGGCCACGACCATCCAAGGGGGAAACATCGAGTTTCCCCCTCGGATGGTCGTGGCCCCGCCCCCAGCATGCCCGGCGTCATTACATCCGCCATCACCACAACTTGATTTGGGGAGAAGGAAGCACAGGAAAAGCTGCCCTTTCGATGACATTTCCCTGTATGTGACTGTGTGTTCTTAGGAAGGTTTCTGAGACGGTCTGGTCTATTCCACTACTATCGCCAAGTGTGGGTCAGTCCCTCAGTGCATGGCAACAGAATTCACACCACTGCGTATGAGGAATTAGTGCTGGGTAAGAGGACAGGTGAAGATGGGTAGCCATGTCTGTCCGTAGCAGTAGACAAGAGCAAGAGTCCAGTCGCACCTTAAAGACGAGCAAAATTGGCGGCAGAGGATGAGCTTCCGTGAGTCAGTCACTTCTCAGTTCTTCATCTATAGCACTGTATCTGTAGCTGAAGAAGTGCTACTGGACTCTTATCCTTTTCTACTGGTAAGAGGAGAGAGCAATCGCCAAGGGAAACACGGATCACGGAACTAGCGGCTCCACCGTTACTATCAGAAAGCATTCGATGCACTCCCACCCCTCGTGTCTGCAGGGTCCTTGGCTTGCCTGCACCCTTGCATTCAACCCCCCCCCCCACAACAGCTGATGATGTCTTTCTCAGGAACAGCACAGCACCTCAGGCCGAGCCAGGCCCGTAGCTAATGCGGGGCCCGCGGGGCCTGGCTTGCCTGCACCCTGCATTCCCAACACCCCCCCACACACACACAACAGCTGATGATGTCTTTCTCAGGAGCAGCACAGCACCTCAGGCCGAGCCCTCCTCTTCCTGTGCATCTGAGGAAACGAGCTCCGACTCACGGAAGAAGAAGAAGAAGAAGAAGAGGAAGAGGAGGAGGAGGAGGAGGAGGAGGAGGAGATTGGATTTATACCTGGCTGCTGCAGCCCTTGCCCTAGAGCCTTTGATTGGATTAGCAAGCGGTGCCCCCCCAGGTCCCCTCCCTAAAAAGTTCTTAGCTACGGGGCTGGGCCGAGCCCTCCTCTTCCTGCGCATCTGAGGAAACGAGCTCCGACTCACGGAAGCTGATGCTGGAAGGAATGGTGTCAGTCTTTAAGGTGCCCCCAAGCTCCTGTTTTATCCACCGACTCTCAGAAGCTTTTACCTCTCTTGTCTGTGGCCCCGATGTCGACACGATTGGCCACCAGCTCCTCCACCATGTTTTCCACCCCGAGTCGCGTGGCCAGGATTAGCGGGGTGGAGCCATCGTGCGCCGAGGTGTCCAGGTCTGTCTGTCTGTGCCGGAGAAGGATCTGTTGGGAAGAACCTTGCAGTCAGTACTGGGTTTGCTGTTAGCACTGGGTTCTTTTCTATAGAAGGGGAAGGAGGAGATTATCAGGGAGTCGAATTCCATAGCCAATGGCCCATTCTGGGGCTGTACAGTAACTCCTTCAACGTCACAGCATGACACACAGTCCTGATGAAAGAGGATTCCTCTCTAGTTAGTGCCAGCAGTTTAAAAAGCCTTTGTCAAAACTGAGGCAGCCTTTAATCCCACCTCCGGCATCCACGGGGAATAATAATCACACTAAGATCCTCTACTTGGTAGTGGTGGAGAGCAGTGTTCCCTCTAAGCTGAGTTAGTGTGAGCTAGTTCAGTTTGTTAGCCTCCGGATCACACATTTTTGTCTTAGCTCTGGAAGGAGGGCTCCAGAGCAAACCAATTTACGCGGCAGCCAAATCACTCCCTCACGACTTTAATGCCAGCAGCTCACTAAGTAGAATTTCTGCTCACAAGACTCCACAGCTTAGAGGGAGCATTGGTGGAGAGCACCATCAAGTCACAGCCAACATATGGCAACCCTGTAGGGCATGGGTGTCAAACATCTGGCCCATGGGCTGGAACCGGCCCATCTAGGGCTCTTATCTGGCCTGGGAGCAATCAGTCATTACCTTTATTGCCAGATGACAGAGGCTGTGTGTGCATTATGTCCCTGTATACTGTCCCAGCACTAATAAGGAATGGGCAGTAGAAGTGGGAGGGTGGGGATCGGGGAGATACTTTAAGGAAATATGTAAAGAGTGTTAATGTTTTAAGCATGTTTGTATTTCAAGTAGGAGTACGAGTAGGAGGAGATTGGATTTATACCCCACCCTTCACTCAGAGTCTCAGAGTGGCTTACAATCTCCTTTCCCTTCCCCTCCCCACAACAGAACCCTGCGTTGAAAGAGAGAGCTCTTTTGAAAACTGCTCTTGAGAGAACAGCTCTGACTGAACTACGGCTTGCCCAAGGTCATCCAGCAGCTGCGAGTGGAGGAATGGGGAATCAGACTCGGTTCTCCCAGATCAGAGTCCACATACTTAACCACTGTCACCAAACTGGCTCTCAAGTAAAAAATAATATCGTTAATTGGGTTAGCCTATTTTCTTTATAAAGTTTATCTCTCCCATGCCTGGCATTACATTTTACGGTACACAAGGCCCTACAAAGTGACATTTATGTCAGATCCGACCCTCGTAACATGAGCTCGACACCTCTAGGTTTTTAAGGCAAGAGAAGTTCAGAGGTGGTTTGCCCTTGCCTCCCTCTGCATAGCCACTCAAGGCTTCCAAAGTGGTCTCCCATCAGGCCCACAGCCAGGATTTTGTAGTTTGTGGAGCAAATTTTTTTCTGGTGGGGCTGTCATTATTTTCCATAATGAAGGGGGAATGGCACACACACCCCTCTCCCTCTCCACCTGCAAGCTTTAAAGGGCCTTCCAGCTGATCAGCAGGGAGCACATGGCCCACTGCCACTGATCACCTGGAGGGCCCTTTAAATCTTGCAGGTGGAGAGGGAGCTGCTGGCTTCTTCTCAAAAGCATTTAAGGAATCCTTTTAAATACTTTTCGGTAGAAGCAGAGGGTCTTTAAGAAGCAGGGGCCCTTTAAAGAAGGGGTCGGAGTCCCCAATAGCCCCACTGTAGCTATGGGCCAGTCTCCCATCCAGGGGTCATTTCCTGCAGGAGCGCACAGGAGCGGAGCTCCGGCAGTAAAGTGCCCAGGGGGCGGGCACATGCAACAAGCCCCACCCCCTGCTCCCAGCAGCCCTCAGTCAGAGCAAGAAGCAGCCAGGTAAGCTGCAGAGCCCCCCCCCAGCCCCCCGGTCCAAAACAGTCCAGTGGCACCTTTAAGACCAAGTTTCCTTCAGGTACAAGCTCTCCCTCCTCTGTGAGGACAGATCTGCACGTTT